TTAAAACTTCATGTTTTTGAATTCATGTAACTAATTGCAGATAAACATAATCAAATAGATGATAAATATCTCATTTTAAATATAAAGATCTAAAATATAATTATGATAATCATTGACTTCTAAAAAAATATTTAATCATTAACTTTATGAAAAATTATATTATTAAATCAAAAATACAAAATGAATTAAATAAATACACAAAAAAACGAGAAATTTTAAATAGTTAGTTTGATACTAATATCAATATTTTTTTTTCTAATTTTTTTATGATATCTTCATATTTATATTTTACTCAAAAATAAAAACGTTATCGTTTTCTCAAAACCACATAAAATTGTATTATAACATCAACCGAGACAAAAATAAAATAATATTAAAATCAAGATGTATCTTGCTGTATTGTCCAAATACCCTTCTAGTAACCACCAACTAATTAAGCTTAAGAAACATCACACTTTTTCTCCAATAACCTGTCCATTGAAGGAAAGAAAAAAATTTAACTAAATTCTTCATAAATCATATATGTGTATCAAACGCTACCTATATAGTCGTATTCTTTTTTGAGCCCATCTCTGTTAAAATAGAAATTTGTTATCCCAAATTTCGTGTCGTTTTCATTTCTATCCATCAATCATGTGGAACCATATCATCAATTTATTTACGAGATAGAACACAAATAATATGTATTTTAACTATTAGTAACATAACAGAAAAATTTGAGACATCAAATTACAATTCCAGTATAAAAATCTTTAAAACCGTCGTTGTCTGAAAACACGACATAAAATGCCATTCTTAGTAAAGCATGTTGGTTATCGCGACACTTTCACTAAAACCCACGTCCGAAAACTCCACTTCTTTTGCTTAAAAAACGTATGAAATTCAATATATGAAGAAAAAAAAACTACAGTTATCGCTCAACAAAATGTTTTCAAATGTAAAACTGGGAAACTTCGTGCACCAATCAAGAAGACAAATCGATACTTCATTACCATCCAGTTATCTCGAGCAAACAATACCTTAATTCTTGTTTCTTTTAATTTCAAACGAAATCAAGATTAATTCAACGTAAATTATCATGGTGAAAACACGTTAAATTCTCTTATTGGCTTAAAAAGTAACCAACAATTTTGGTCTATATGGCTAGGGGTGCTCAAAAATGCGACCAACCCGATCAACTCAATCCAACACGAAATAATTCAACCCAATGTTTAATCGAGTTGTAAAATTTTCAAAACCGTAGGTATTGAGTTGATATTGGGTTACTATTATTTGAACTCAACCCAACCCGATATCCATTTATTTCTTGGATTTAAAATGATTGTTGAATTTCTATTAATATATATAACTAGACAAGTACACTATCACGTACGCTATTCATTTACACATCTTTTCAATCTATTTACATCTCTATATAACTTATTCGTATATATGTTCAATAACTGTAAACATATATACGTAAATTGAGAAAATTAACTAAATGTAATATACGTATGAAGTATGGAATAATTGTATCAAATGGTTGATGATGAAAAAGAAATTATGAGTAGAGAAATAACATATTCAAAGTTAGAAGAATATTTTAATGTACCAAAAGTATCAACCCGACCAACCCGTATGGTTTGGGTTGGGTTGGGTTGCACTTTCGTTTGGGTTGGGTTAAGATGTTTCAAACCGCAAGCATTAGGTTGAGTTGTTCAAATATCTTCAACCCGATCAACTCAACTCATAAGCACCCTTATATATGGCTTACTTGATTTGTAATATTTTTTTGTCCTTACAATTAACTTAGAACCTAAATTCGTTTACAACAGGATTGTTGTTGTGACGAGAATACGTCTAACCTACAAAACTTTCCCATTTTGGAAAGAGATGTTAGAATGTGAATGCAACTATTCTTCAATTTCGTTTTCACATTTCCCTATCAATCAATAACAAGCAAGTGGTGTTGAGATCTTTTAGGTGTTCTGTTTGTCTCCATTCTACTGTCATATCTATAGTATTGTATATTGATGTATATTACTTAAAATTTCAGATTACAAGTAAATTATGCACAAGTACAACTTATTAAAGCTCCATGTTTGAATTCGTGTAACTAACTGCGGATAAACATAATCAAATAGAGGATAAACACCTCATTTTAAAATATAAAAAATATAAAATAAAATTAGGATAATTATCGAGTTCTAACAAAATAATTAATTATTATCTTTATAAGAAAATTATATTATTAAACCAAATACTTCGTTATTGAACCTAAATTAAATTATAATAAAAAAATTGAATTAAAAATTACACAAAAATTAAGGAATTTTAAATAGTTAATTTGATTCTAATATCGATATATTTTTGTCAAAATTTTATGATAACTTCAAATTTATATTTTATTAAAAGTAAAAACATAATCGTTTTTCAAAATCACATAAGACCATATTATAACATCGACTGAGATAAATAATGAAATATTAAAATCAAGATGTATCTCGTTGCATTGCGCGAGTACTCTTCTAGTAAATTTTAAATAGTGACGGAAGTTCTGCCCGTATCAACTTATAAGGTAACGGGGCAGAGATTCCCCGACTTAATTTATAATCTGTTTCATAAGGGATTATATTTGAAAACAAAATGGTTCCAAAAAACAGATAATTAACGTTTTTTATTTATTTGAATTATATAAATATTAAATTTTTTAAATATATTCATTTCTTAAGAAAATGTATTTGTTTGTGTTCGTTCATTAACATGTTAAACGAACAAAAATGGTCGAACATAAACGAGCAAAAAACAATCACCATTACTCGTTGTTTCGTTCTTCTAACAAAATATAAAACCGAGTAAATTTGGGAGGAATAAAGAAAGAAATTTAAAAAACTTAATTTATTAATTGATTTTACACATTAATCTCATAATATATAAATATATTTATATGTAAACGAACATTTATCACTACAACAAAATCGGGTTTATAGGACACTCTCAATTTTTAAGCGTTCTAATAGACCTCTTTATATGACTTAATTTATAAGACCAAAAAAATAAAATGTCATATCTAAAGGCGTTGTAATAAGTTTATATGACATTTTTGACGTCGTAATAAGTTTTCTAGAACATTTTTAATCTAAAACGTCCAATTAGCAACTTTATACGACAATATCTGAAAAATTATCTTATAAAAATAAGTGTCCTATACAAAAATGATTTTATATGACAGTTTCTCAAAAGTGTCATATAAAGTTGCTAATGCGACACTTTATTTTAAAAATGTCATAAAAAACTTGTTAAGACGTCCAAAAGCGTCATAGAAACTTATTACAACACCTTTAGATATGACACYTTATATTTTGGTCATATAAATTAAGTCCTACAAAGAAATCTATTGGAACACTTAGAGATTGAAAGTGTCATATAAACTCAAGTTTGTTGTAATGTATGAAATAAACGAACAAAAACAAAATCGTTATTCATTTTCGTTCGTTTAACTACATCAACCAAATCCTATAATCTTGACGGACAATTCGCGAAGGATCGGCACAACTTCCGATGCTCTACGACCCTAATCTTTTAGGACCACTATGGTCCGAAAATATTACAAATTTGCCATTCTGACTAAAGTCAAAGGTCACGTGCGATTATGTTGTGACAGTTGACTAAACCCGAACCACCAACTGCCAATCTACATTACGTCAATATTTTCAAGATTTAAATTTAAGGAAATTAATGTAAATAATAATATTCTACAACTAAATTGACTTCTTGACTATTTTTCGTTACAATTTATCAGAAATTTACTAGGACCGTAATATCCAGATTTTGTAAACGACAAAATTTTAGAGTTTTTGGCACAGATCTCTAATTATTACAGGTCCGGCCCAAAATCCATTTTTCTTGAATCCGTGATACCATATCCGTTAGTATCCACCTTCATAGGAAAATGAGTTTTGGGTCGGATCCATAATAGTTGTGGATCAATGGTTATGGACCTGAGACAAAAACGTTGATTTTTTTGTCGTTTAATGGGTCCACAATAATTACTAACATAAGTATTAGGGGTGCTCAAAAATCCGACCAACCCGATCAACCCAACGCGAAATAACTCAACCTGAAACAACCTGATGTCTAATCAAGTTGTAAAATTATCAAACCGTAGATATTGGGTTGCTATTATTTGAACCCAACCCAATACCTACGGTTTGTCAAACCGTACGTTTCTCACCTTACGAAGAGAGTTATACCCCTGATCACTTTTAATCACAAACCAACCCATGAATTGCACTTTAGAAGAGAATTGATCTAGTATCTCATTATTGTTGATCTAGTGGTTCTGTTCAATTGAAATTAATCCAAGGGTGAAGATGTATTTTTACCATTCTTATCATAATTTTCATTCTCATCGGGATCCAACCCTTAACTTTAAAAGATTATATACCTTATCCTATTTTTTAAAATAAAGACTTATCAAAATAAAAGTTTTTTTTTTTTTTTTTTTTTTTTTTTTTTTTATCATTAATATGATTATAACTTAAATTAAGGGACTGTTTACCAAAAACTTACTCGATAAGTGCTTACCGGTAAAATTTAACACTATTACTTCTTTACCAGGAGATTTTAGTCCACCAAAATGGCATCATATGCAATAATTTACCCTATAAGCTCTTACTATGGTAAGAGTTGTCTTCACTTACCGGATAAGATTCTTGCGGTAAAGTAATGTGACTTTATAAGCTCTTAACCAGATAAACGTTTAATAAACAGTCTCTAATAAATTATTTCAAACATATTATAACTTCTATAGAAATAAGTCAAGAAAAGATTCCAATAGGAAATAAGAACCCTTGTTGTAGGAAGCTTCCATTGGCCAACCAAAAAAGTATATAAATGAGACCAATTTCTAGTTCCTAGAAAATCCTTGCAAAGAGATTTAAGAATTTTAATATTCTTGATATCAACAAATTGTTTTTTCAGATAATTTTTTATCGTCTGTTTGTTGACGTAAATCAGTCATGAGAGATCCAAGTTGTGATTCGCAGTCAGGTTTGAGAAAAGGTTTTTGGAGTACAGAAGAAGATCGGAAGTTGGTGAATTATATACGTAAATATGGTATCTCTAACTGGTGTAAGATGTCTTTGTATGCTGGTAAGTTAATTATATCCAGTCGCTCAAATACTGTAACGATATATCTCGATGCAATTAATCTAATCTTGAAAACCCACATTGGTTTGAGTTTGGCTCCAAAGATCAAAAGTACCAGGAGGTCCCAGGTTCAAATCCATGGAGAAATAAAAATCTCCTTGTGGCCACGGAGGTTCAAATACGGTGACTCCGGGCTATCTGCAAAGCAGGTGGTCGTCCTGGGATTGGTCAGCTCGCATAGCGGGTTGGATATCCAGGTTAATAAAAAAAAACGGTATCATGTTTGTTCTAATTGTGTTTTTGTTATTCTTTTTTAGGTCTTTCGAGAACCGGAAAAAGTTGCAGGTTAAGATGGATGAATTATTTGAACCCGAACATAATACGAGGAAACTTCACCAATGAAGAAGAAAAAACGATACTTCAGTACCATTCAATTCTTGGAAACAGGTGATAAGTTCGACTAAATATATACAATCTAAACATGATTTGTTTGGTTTCAAAATATTTTAAAAAATATTTAATTTTGATTATAAATGATAATAAAGAAAAAAGAAAGATTATGTAACCTAAAGCTCGACAATTAATAATACGGTAATCTTTCTTGACCATCTGGTATCGATAAAAATCTGTTTATGTAACTTCATCACTTCTTCTCTCATGTTTTAATACAATTAATATATATATATATATATACACACACACACATGCATACTAGAAGAGTACTCGTGCAATGCAGCGAGACACATCTCGATTTTAATATTCTATTTTATTATTTGTCTCTGTCGATATAATAGTACGATTTTATGTGTTTTTAAGAAAGCAATAATGATTTTATTTTTGAATAAAATATAAATTTGAAGATATCATAAAAATTTGAAAAAAAAATATATCAATATTAATATCAAATCAACTATTTAAAAGTTCTCATTTTTTATGTAATTTCTTTAATTTAAATTTTTATTATAATTTAAAGTAAGTTTAATAACGAAATAATTTATTTTTGGTTTAATAATATAAYATTTTATAAAGATAATAATTAAGTATTTTGTTAGAACTCAATAATTATCCTAATTAAATTTTAGATTTTTTATATTTAAAATGAGATGTTTATCTTGTATTTGATTATGTTTATTTGCAGTTAGTTACACGAATTCAAATATGGAGCTTTAATAAGTTGTACATATGCACAATCTATTTGTAATCTTGAGTTTTAAGTAATAGGATTAATAAACAATACTTTATGCATAAAAAATGGTTTTTAAGAATTTTTGTAAAATGTTTTATAATACAGTATAGATTATAATTTAATTTAAGCTTAATAACGAAATAATTTAATTTTGGTTTAATAATATAACATTTTATAAAGATAATAATTAAGTATTCTGTTAGAACTCAATGATTATCCTAATTATATTTTAGATTTTTTATATTTAAAATGAGATGTTTATCTTGTATTTGATTATGTTTATTTGCAGTTAGTTACACGAATTCAGGAGCTTTAATAAGTTGTACTTACGCATAATCTACTTGTAATCTTGAGTTTTAAGTAACATGCATTAATAAACAGTACTTTATGCATAAAAAATGGTTTTTAAAAGTTTTTTGTCAAATGTCTTATAATATAGTGTGTGTGTGTGTGTATATATATATATATATATATATATATATATATATATTCACGAAACTAATGTGTACTAATTTGATTGTGTGAATTTGGTAACAGATGGTCTGCCATTGCAAGAAAGGTTCCAGGAAGATCAGACAACGAAATTAAAAACCACTGGCACACCAATCTCAAGAAACGCATCATCACTCAAGATCATCCAGTTCCAACAATAAAACCTAAAGAAACCACAAAATCAATTGATCTGCACGATGTTGAAAGCTCAGTTGAAACACCTACTAGTCATGTATTTTCAAGTTTATCAGATGGCGATACCACTTCATTATGCAAGCTTGATATAAGTTCAAGATATGATCATGAACAACTAGAAGTTGAGAATGAAAGTGATTATCATATCAGTTCACCTGGAACAATTCTAGATATCAAAAGTTTTTGGGAACAACTTTATTATGCTGATGAGGATTTGGAGCTACAAAATCTTTTTCAAGATACGTCTTTTGATCAGATCTTCATTGATAATTTATACAGCTAAGTTGTGAAATTATGCATGAGAACTAGTTTTCGATTATAATATTATTAAGTTTTTAATCATGAATTAGGGTTTCTTTGCCCATATATTTTTAATTTTAGGTTTCGTTTACTTTTCAAAAAGACGTTTCTTTTTAAATCCGTTTACCCTAATTATATATATATATATATATATATATATATGTGTGTGTGTGTGTGTGTGTATCATGCATGTTCGATACCATCGAGTTCAAATGGCTGTCTTTTTTTGGATTATTATTTGTTGTATGTAATTTTCCCATTTTTGTTATGTTCAAGTTATCTGCATCGATCGAGTGTTTTATAATGTTTATGCTATATATATATATCTATATAGGGGAGCGATCAAATGCAAACCACTCAATTTGTACAAACTGTGCAAACCGCATTCAACCAATCATAATTTTTCATTTTGTTCATTTTTTTGTAATTATGAGAGGTTGATTAATCATTTTTATTGTGGAGGGTGTTAATCATAG